CTATGTATATGCTCGCATTTTAGACTCTGTTACTAACTGTATATCTGTAGACTTGGTATGTCTTAAATGTCCGGTTAGGATGTATTAGAACGAAATCTAAAAGGAAAATTGTAAATAAGCAATCTGTATGTAAAAAAAAACACCTGTATGTAAATTGTAAATAAGCCATCTGTATGTCAAATATGTCTTATATGTCTTAAATGACATGATGAATTGGAAATGGGGGACCCTGATGTAAACAAGACGAAAGTCTTTCTCTGGTCTGCATCCCCTTAACAATTGTATGTTTTGAGCTGTACTGTACTGTACCCAATATACAAGCTGTTAATAAACTTTTCAATCAATCAATCAATCAATCAAACCTCGGCGCAAGCGCCTCGGTCCTGCCGCAGTACTGTCGTACCAATAATGACGTTAAAGAACGGCCTCTCGTGTATGATTGCTTAAGCATACCAACAAACACACTGAACCAAGTACTACTGCAGCCACAGGCTTATCAAAGTCAAAGTCAGCTTTATTGTCAAGAATTCTACATGTTGTACATCCAGAAATATCGAAATATCGTTTATTGAGGTCCTATAGTGTGACATACACTGAACAAAAATATAAACGCAACACTTTTGTTTTTGCTCCCATTTTTCATGAGATGAACTCAAAGATCTAAAACATTTTCTATATACACAAATTAACCATTTCTCTCAAATATTGTTCACAAATATGAAAAAATCTGTGATAGTGAGCACTTTTCCTTTGCCGAGATAATCCATCCCACCTCACAGGTGTGGCATATCAAGATGCTGATTAGACAGCATGATTATTGCACAGGTGTGCCTTAGGCTGGCCACAATAAAAGGCCACTCTAAAACGTGCAGTTTTCCTTTATTTGGGGGGTCTGGGGGGGTCCGAAAACCAGTCAGTATCTGGTGTGAGGGGTAGGATTAGGGTTAGGGGTAGGGTTAGGGTAATGTTGTGAATTGAGTGATCTGTGTTCGTCATCCATAACATACGCCTGCCCATACCATAATCCCACCACCACCATGGGCCACTCAATTCACAACATTACCCTAACCCTAACCCTAACCCTAATCCTACCCCTCACACCAGATACTGACTGGATTTCGGACCCCCCCAGACCCCCCCAATAAAGCAAAACTGCACGTTTCAGAGTGGCCTTGTATTGTGGCCAGCCTAAGGCACACCTGTGCAATAATCATGCTGTCTAATCAGCATCTTGATATGCCACACCTGTGAGGTGGGATGGATTATCTCGGCAAAGGAGAAGTGCTCACTATCACAGATTTTTGCAGATTTTTGAACAATATTTGAGAGAAATGGTTATTTTGTGTATATAGAAAATGTTTCAGTTCTTTGAGTTCATCTCATGAAAAATGGGAGCAAAAACAAAAGTGTTGCGTTTATATTTTTGTTCAGTGTATATACATCAAACAACAACAAAAAACAAAAAGGGCCTAGTTAACCGGGGTATACAGTTTAAAATGTTAATAATATGTTAAAGTGTTCAGCAGAGATGGCAGAAAAATGACTGGTGCTGGATGAGGGAGGTTGTGTGTGTGTGTGTGTGTGTGTGTGTGTGTGTGTGTGTGTGTGTGTGCGCTAGAGTTATTGTGGTCTTCTTCACTTTCCCAGAAATGTTTGCTTTCACTTTTAGTTTACTGTAACTGTTGGTGCTGCAAAAACTACCTTTGAAAAAAAGGATGAGTTCAACACTTCTTTTAACAATCATATCATACTCTTATTTCTTGGTTTTTCAGCTTCTGTTTTAGCTTTGATGAAGCAGAGAGCAAATCACAAAATCCTGCAGGATCAAAATACAATATTCATGAGCTTTTATCTTATGTGTAGTATAAATGGTATACTGAGTTAGCTAAAGCGAGGCTACATTTTCAATATTAGGACAGAAAACCACGATTGAAAGAAACACACAGAAAGTCTGCAACAGACTGCAGCTGTCCGACTGACCGTCTTTGGTTTCACTGGAAAGATTTTACACAGGTCCCTATAATGATCATTTTCAGGTTCATATTTCTATGTAGTGTCTCTACTGTGACATGTTTCCATGCTTTAATGTTGAAAAAGCTCTTTATTTCTCTCATACTGCCTGTGCTGCAGCCCTTCTTTTCACCCTCTGTCTGAAACCAGAGCCCAGTCTGCTCTGATTGTTTAGCTGGCCGGCACTGTTGTGATTGGTCAACCGCTTAGAGATGTCCCGCCCCTTAACCTTTCATGTACAATATGTTGGAGCGCTAGCCAATAGAAGCGCAAGTTTTAAATAGTGATGTCTCCATATTACAAAAGTAAACCAAGAAGTCCAAAGGAGGTGTTTCAGGCAGGAAGGGGGGGACAACAAAGGTTGTTCATTTGTGTGTATAAATATACAACACAGGCTATATACATATATATATATAAGTATACATTGTAGTGTCGAGAGATAGGGAGTCGGAGGCGGTGCAATGGAGGTACAAAGCTTGCTTTAATGAGCAGCAGAAATGTAGATGTTGTCGGGCCCGGGACGACAAGAGAAAGAGCCAGGAGGGCACACAACATATATAGATACCAACACATATATGTCTGTGTGGAAACAATAGCCCCAACTGTAGTTCCATGTATGAATTATGTCCCAGTGTATTAATAGGTGGTCACCACACAAGCCCCCCCAGAATTCAAACATGGCAAAAAAATCCTCGCGTCCGTGGAGGAAGCACCACAGGGGCCGAGGAGGGTGGGGCCGCAGGTGAGGACCGGGCCATGGAACGGGCCACGAAAGGGGGCCGCAGGAGAGGGCAGGGGCCCTAACGAGGGCGAGGGCACCCACACCGGGGGCCGCAGTAGGTGTCGCGGAGAACCCAGCAGAAAAGAGCGCAACCCGGCCGCAGGCAGACGCACAACAGCGGTGGGCACGAAGCCCTCGGCAGGCGTCGAGGTATCCCCGGAAGAGAGGAGCAGTCCCCCCGGGAGGAAGGAGCGCAAGCCGGCCGCAAGCAGACGTGCAACGGCGGCGGGCACGAAGTCCTCGGCAGGCGTCGAGGCATCCCCGGGAAGCAGGAGAGCAACCCGGCCGCAGGCAGACGTGCCGCGGCGGCGGGCATGAAGTCCTCAGCAGATGTCGAGGCATCCCCGGGAAGCAGGAGAGGCCAGACAGGGTCCCGGAGCGCGCCACCCATGGGCCGATGGAGCATGGGCGACGTCCGGAACTGTCGAGTCGAGAGGGGGTCCAGGAGTGCGCCACCCAGGCGCCGATGAACGTGAGTGGCGTCTGCATATCCCCGGAAGGCAGGAGAGGCCAGACAGGCTCCGGAGCGCGCCACCCACGGGCCGATGGCAGCATGTGCGACGTCCAAAACCGTCGAGGCGAGACGGGGTCCAGGAGTGCACCACCCAGGCGTCGATGAAAACGTGAGTGGCGTCTGGAACCGCCGTGGAGGTGGTGAAAAATGTGAGAGTGTCCACATGAGGTCAACCGGCTGGTCGAACCTCCTCTCCGGCACCAGAAAAAAAAAAAAAACTCAAAAGGGTAGATAGCCGTTAGCTGTTGCCGTTAGCTGGCAGCCATCGGTAGCTAGCCGTAGTTAGCCAACGTGGTTAGCTGCTAGTTGTCGTTAGCTAGCGGAGCTGGGACGTGCAGCCGCACGCCCCGAAGAAACCCCACGAGGCAGCAATCGGGTTCATCCCTACCCAGCAGGTCGTGCATCGTCCCCTCTGTAGTCGGAAGGCAGATGCGGGAATGGCGAGCAACATCCCCAGCCATTCGGCGAGGCGCGCACCGAGCCTCCGTCCGCGTCCCTGTAGCAGCCACGGTCGACTCCAAAAAATCCCCGGCATTTCGAGAAAGAAACCTGAGTTTCCTTTGCCGTGTTCGGGTCCGTCTCGGAAACTTCCCAAGACGCTGTCAGGGTCACCAATGTAGTGCCGAGAGATAGGGAGTCGGAGGCGGTGCAATGGAGGTACAAAGCTTGCTTTAATGAGCAGCAGAAATGTAGATGTTGTTGGGTCGCAGCCCGGGACGACAAGAGAAAGAGCCAGGAGGGCACACAACATATATAGATAACAACACATATATGTCCGTGTGGAAACAATAGCCCCAACTGTAGTTCCATGTATGAATTATGTCCCAGTGTATTAATAGGTGGTCACCACAACATATACAATTATAATTAATACAACTGTTAATTTGATTAGAGCTTTGACACATAATCTTTATTGATATATGACGACTTCCCCGTGCGATATCATATAGCTAATGAATCAAACTGGGTCAAAACGTGTTGTGCCCACATGCAAAGGTTGTACGCTCTGGCTCATCCCTGTGTGGTATTATATAGTAATATCAAACAGCTACGTTCAATTCCTTTAATTGTATATTGCAAGTGCAATAAGAAGCTACAGGGACGTGAATATACGTCGGTAATATTAACTTTATTTAATACAAGATTTACGTCATACAGCCCATGTAGTATAATATTTTACAAATGATGAATTACAGCAAACATGTGCAATATATCCATTATTACAGCTCCGTGGGCTGGCAGTAAGGCGATATGGTCCGTTGTTATTGTGCATCCATGGGTAAAGATAAACGCATGTAGTACTGAACACGTAACATGAACGTACCGGGCGGCGCGGTCCCGTGGGTTAGATGCACGTTCATAATGCCGAGGAAAATAACTCTCAGAATAACGTTATTAGCAGATTTTACAACTTGAGGACCGCATTTTTTTAATAAGGGCTATACAAACGTTCATACTGGGTAGTTTATTTAGTTTCAAAAAAATTATCCAACGATTTACAGACCACTCTTTCCCCATGTAAGTCAACGGGTCAGGAGTTTGATGTGTTTGACTCTAGTAGCATAGACTGATCGAAAGTTACACCAAGGTTTTTTATGTTTGCCCTTATGTTACCACTGAATGAACCCAGGTGGCTTGCTACCTTAGAGGCGATGTTATCAGCCGCTAAGATCAAGACTTCCGTTTTCGATGCAATGAGCTGTAGGAAGTTGCTTGACATCCACCCCTCAATTGCAGACAGACATGTGATGAGGGTGTTTACATTTTCCATTTTGACGGGTTTGAAAGAGAAACATATCTGGATATCATCTGCATAACAATGATACGAGACACCCTCAAATTGGCTAATTAAGCGGCCCAATGGGAGCATGTACAGGGCAAAAGAAGGGGGGCTAAAACAGAACCCTAGGGCAGGCCGCAGGATAGGTGATGAGAACGGGCCCACCGCCACGGAGAAAATAGGAAGGTCAGTTGGGATATATTGCTTTAAAAAAAAGAACCTACATTGTGTTTTCAGGAATCATATTATGACTGTTTGCTATCTGTTTTTATGTACTTATCTTTTTCAATATGTTTTATATCTGTGTTTCGGATGGTGGACGGTTAATTATGACCCCATCCACTAAATGTCAACTCACTTTCATTTTGAGCTCTTTAGAAAAACATTAGTTTCATGCTCCCAGTTCACTTCTTGCTCACTTGTTGACACAGAGCTCCTTCACATCGAGCAGACTCCTTCGGGTAAGTTATCTATTTAGTAAAGTTTATTATGCAAACAACATGTATACATGCTTTATGTTAGGATGTATAGCTCATGATATAAACCAATTTGTGATTTATACGTTTTGCATCTAATTCAGAACTGAATACTACATTTGTTCACCTAATATAATATTTTAATTTCCATTGCTACCATTATGTTTCCAGTTGAGGTGGTTCCCACAGAGAAACACGATCTCTAATCTGCTGCCAACATTTCCTCTTTCTTTTTCAGAGAGAATAATAAACCGTGAGGATGGCAGGTACGCAACATCGTCTTTAAGTGCATTCTTCACTCGAAGAAATATACTATATTTAGGATTAACAGTTAGTTGATTTCTGACTTTAGTCAAACAAAGAACATTGCATTTCATTGGAGACATAAGATTAATAAGTCTATCTGGAGATCTTGTTTTCCTGTGACTTTATGGAGTTTGAAAGATTAACTTGCTTTAATACGTAAATAACGAATCACTCTGTCTTTTTCAATAGTTCTCAGTCAAATGTAGTTTTTACTCCAAAAAGCTGTGTTAATATTTGTAAAGATGTTGTAACACTAAGAGCATAAAGAGCATCTGAATTTATATTTGAATATGTGTTTCATCCATAAAAAACTAAAGATGAAATGTATGTCTCTTTGCTCATGCAGTTTTGAGAGGGAGTGCCGCAATTTCAAATGATTCACCTGGAATAGTGGAGATTAGCGACACCTTTGACCGGCCTGGCAAAGCCTCTGCTGAAGGTACCTGTGCAGGTACCGACACGTATGCAGTTGGACTTAAGAATAAACCTGGTAAACTGATTTCTGACTGATGTGTTTAAGTGTTAATCCTACTAAATTGGGTATTTAACCCTCCTGTTGTCTTCAGGTCAAATCTGACCGATTTACTACTTTCATCAATCATAACTTTTTTGTTTTACATTAGATTGCATGAAGGCTTCATGATATCCTTCACATCCTTTTTGAACATATACAATTGCTGATCACTACTTTCATTGAATTTTGGATGATTTAGTCAACTTTGTAACACCCATGGTGTTCTCGGTCAAAAATGACCGCCATAAAGAAAAGGAATTAGTAACCATCCGGATCAGATAAAACACACACACACACACATACTCTAGATGTGTTCCCCCCCCCCCTTTATGTGCCAAATCCCCCCATGTGAATCACACCTGGCACACACATTACATGTTCAGTGTCTATTCTTTGTATATTTACTGCAGTTGTTCGTGTATACCAGTAGTCTGATACAATATTTACAGTTTGAAAGGGTGTTAAATGAAATTTGGTGATGATTAATGGTTTTTGTGTTAATGTAACAGCAGTTAAAACAGGACCGGTCCAATTTGAACGGTCCTAAGTAAGGGGTGGGAAACTAAGACAATAGGAGGGTTAAAAGGGGATAAAGGACCGATGTAACATTAAAAGTCTGTACAAGAAAAGAAACCAAAACTAAGGTGGGGTGAGGCCAGTTAATGAGGTGGCAGGCTTACAGTAAGTACCCTACCCACCACAGAGAGAGGAGGAGGCTCAGTCTATTAGTGCGCTGATCTTCGTCAAGGGAGCACAGGGTTGAGCTGCATTCAAGAGCACTACTCACTGCACAAAGAACATTGCATTTCATCGGAGACATACAAATAATTAAGTCTATTCATCTGGAGATTTTCAAATATTAAAAAAAATGTCATGTGACTTTGAAAGATTTACTTGCCTTAATACGTAAATGACTAATCACTCGGTATTGTTTAATAGTTCTCAGTCAAATGTAGTTTTTACTGCAAAATGCTATGACGTGTTAATATTTGTAAAAATGTTGTAACGCTAAGAGCATAAAGAGCATCTGAACTTATATTTGAATATGTGTTTCGTCTATATAAAATAAAGATGGACTTGAGGATAAACCTGGTTAATGTAACCCCAAGGCCGGTTTTTCCGCATCTGCAGGAGCTGAAAGGGGCTTTTTTCACGCTGAGGCCCAAGGGCCCAATGCCAGCATCGGAGTTAGAGCCTCTGCAGCGTCTCTCAGTGCCGAAACCTTCGCCAGAGCAGAACTGTGCAGTGCTTTAGCCTCTGCTGGTCCTTTGGAAGCTACAGCCGAATCTGTCAGTTAATATTGTAAATGTTGTAACGCTAAGAGCATAAAGAGCATCTGAACTTATTTTTGAATATGTGTTTCATCTATATAACATAAAGATTAAATGCTTGTCTCTTTGTTCATGCAGATGTGAAAGCGGGTGCCGCAATTTCTTGTGGTGCATCTGGAATATTGAAGATGATCGACACCTTTGACCGGCCTGGCAAAGCTTTTGCTAAAGGTACCTATGCAGGTACCAACAAGTATGCAGTTGGACTTGAGGATGAACATGGTAAACGTATCCCCAAGGCCGGAGTTTCCGCATCTGCAGGAGTGGGTCATGCACGAGCTGAATGGAGCATTTGTGATGCTGAGGCCAAAGGGCCCAATGCCAGCGCCGGAGTAGGAGCCTCTGCAGGGACCCTCAGTGCTTCAGCCTTCGCCAGAGCAGAACTGTGCAGTGCTTCAGCCTCTGCTGGTCCTTTGAGAGCTACAGCCGGTCTGTCAGTTAATATTGTAAATGTTGTAACGCTAAGAGCATAAAGAGCATCTGAACTTATTTTTGAATATGTGTTTCGTCTATCTAACATAAATATTAAATGCATGTCTCTTTGTTCATGCAGTTGTGAAAGCGGGTGCCGCAATTTCTTGTGGTGCATCTGGATTAGTGGAGATGATCGACACCTTTGACCGGCCTGGCAAAGCTTTTGCTAAAGGTACCTATGCAGGTACCAACAAGTATGCAGTTGGACTTGAGGATAAACCTGGTAAACGTATCCCCAAGGCCGGAGTTTCCGCATCTGCAGGAGTGGGTCATGCACGAGGTGAATGGAGCATTTTTGAAGCTGAGGCCAAAGGGCCCAATGCCAGCGCCGGAGTAGGAGCCTCTGCAGGGACTCTCAGTGCTTCAGCCTTCGCCAGAGCAGAAGTGGCCAGTGCTTCAGCCTCTGCTGGTCCTTTGAAAGCTACAGTCGGTCTGTCAGTAGACACCGGTGTCAGTGTTGGTGCTGGCCTAGAGGCAAAGTTGCTGGGCTGTGGCTTCTCTGTTGGCCGTAAAATGGGCGTTTTTCTGTTCGGCAATGGGATTGAATTCAATTTATGAATGCGTTGACAAGTTTATGACAAATGCATCTCTTTGTGAGTTTGCTCTCTGTTCCAATTATTTGACGCAATTATAATTAAGACCGGCTTGTGCAAATGTATGACTTCACTGCAGATTAAGCATTGTTTAATAATAGATGTGCACTGCTTTAATATAACATAAGCTACATGTAATGAAAAATACTGATATAATAATGACATTAGGAACCTTTATGAAACTACAGTGAAATATGATTGTTCCTTTTCCTTCCAACAACATCATGTCACTGCCTTCCAATCAACTTCATCTTGGCTTGTTGACAATAAACTTCTCTGACACTCAAGCAATGTTTTTTTACTCCTTATAAATACTATACTGTTGCATAAACAATACAACTATAATGGTATTGTCAAACAATACATATTTTTAAATAATATGCTTATTAAGACAAAAAGCAAAAGGAAATCAGTGACATCATTTTTTGTTAACACGTTGCAACCGTCACTTACAGTATCTGTGTTGCAGTATATGACTCTTTATTAAAAATAATATTGTAAATATAATATGTAATCATCTTCAACTAGTATGGATAATTAGCAGGAGGATGTCAGTATAATATAAGCAGACTTTGTTCACAAACTGTTGTGCTAGCTGTTAACTAAATCCATACACAGCTTTGTGTTAATGTAAGCATTTACTTTAGTATTGTTTTTATTTTTTTACTTATCATATAGTAGTCATTTATTTATAAAAGGTAAAATGCCAATTTAGGCCTTTTAGAACTTTTGAATACCTCTTAAAAGGAAGAAAAATAAACTATAACCGTGTCAAATCAAAATCAATATATTAGACTGCAGTAAAGAACATTACTGAGCTTCACTGAATTTTAATAACTTAAATATTTGGTTTTCTCTTCCCTAATATCAGCGCTTAAATCAGGGTTGGATAAAAAAAAAATCTTTAAATGCAGATCACAGACATACAAGTAGCTCCATTTACCAAGGGGATTGTACACAACCTGTTTAACTTACATTTAATTAAGTATAAGATGTTGTGGAAATTGTCATTTCTGTTGGAAAACACTAAATAAGCAACGCTCATTGTAACGGAGGTGATCTCTGGGCCCATAGATCTCGGCCTCCGTTACGGGTAATATAGCACTAAAAACATTGCACAGGAAGCATGGGAATATATGTAATTGATGTAACTAGTTTGTCTGTCTCTGTTTCCTGGTTTCATGTTAAAAGTGTTCCCCTTCCCCCATGTCTGTGGCTGTTGATTGTGTGCACCTGGTGCCCTGTGTTGTCTCCTCCCCCCCCCCCACCTGTGTCTAATTGCTGATTAGTGTGTGTATTTAGGGTCTGTTGCCCTGTCTGTTTTGGAGGCTGAGAGTGTGTGGGAGATCCTGGTGGTGGCTGGTGACTGTGTTCACACGTGGGCAGCAGATTGATGCTGTGTCATGTTTATGACGTAATGAATGCACACACCGGGTTGTATTTTGGACGTTCTGCCTCTGCCTCCTTGCTTGGTCTGCTCAATTGTCAGCTTCACACTCATACATTCTGCCCCGGATTGAATTGAATGCTCCTAAAATGACATTTAAAGCAAATGTGTAATATCAGTATGATTTAGAAGACGTTGTAGGCGAATATAACTCTTTGAGGATTAAGAACAGAAACTTTGCATTAGATCTAACCCATCTGGGTTTTTTATTATTAGTTTACAAAACAACCAAAGTAGAGTTCATAAAGTACTGCATTGAGCTGAATGATGTACAGACATTTATTACACACATTCTTACACGCAAAGATGATACAAATGAGTTGTTCATTCAGTTTATATGTCCTATAGAAAGCTTTCTACAACAGAATTGCACGAGGCAGAAACACAATGACACTCGGACGTAAAAATGTTCTCCTGATCTCAGGGCTGCATGCGAATGGCTCCGTCCAGCCTGATCACCTCGCCGTTGATCATCGGGTTCTCCGCCAGGGACGTCACCAGGTGGGCAAACTCAGCGGGGTCTCCCAGGCGGGAGGGGAAGGGCACCTGGCGTGCGAGGAAGGCGCGCACCTTCTCTGGAAGACCGGCCAGGAGGGGCGTGGAAAACAGACCTGGAAGAAAAAAAAGAGAGAACATGTTTTATAATCCAAGAAAATGTCAGTTTAAAATTTGTGATCTTTGTGATGAGATCAAATTAAGACCTTTTTGAACATTAAAACATAAATACACATGTTCAAAAAGCTCTTTATTTTTCTCATACTCATACATGCGGCAACACCTCTTTTCACCCTCTGTCTGAAACCAGAGCCCAGTCTGCTCTGATTGGTTAGCTGGCCGGCTCTGTTGTGATTGGTCAACCACTAAGAGATGTCCCGCCCCTTATCCTATCCAAACCTAGGCCTCTCACGATAATTAATTTTGTTGGACGATACATTTTTCTGGAAATTATTGCGATAAACGATAATATTGTCGGCACCGTTGTAAGACCATTTTAGACCACTGACATAATGATAATATATAATAATAATTCAAGAACATCCTTTCAAACATAACTTGTTATTGAACATTCAACATTGCAAATGAAATAATATTAAAATATATAAATTATATATAATAAATAAAACAAATTAATTAAATTATAATAAATTAATTAAATCACACACAACCAAAACAATAAATTAAATAGAGTCAGGCTGGAAAACAGAGCTCTCTCTCTCACATGTTTGCCGTGTTTGCTCCCAGCTGGGAAAACGGAATGGGGTGGTTGTGTTTTAGGTGTAGTTTCAAATGCGTGGTATTGCCTGCTTTTGTCGCTACCTTTTTTAAACCAATGCGACACACAGCCCGGCTCATTCAAGTCCGTAGGTTCCCCTCGTTGATTTGGCTTGAATCCAAAATACTGCCACACCGGAGAATCGAGATGTGTAGTTATCGAGTCCATTTATCGTATGATAAGTCAGTTTATCGATTATCACGACAGGCCTATCCAAACCTTCATTTTTCACTAACCGGGTGCTATGGTGATGACTCTGATGCCCATGGGTGCCAGATCTCGTGCGATGGGGAGGGTCATTCCAACGATGCCGCCTTTAGAAGCTGAATATGCTGCTTGGCCGACCTGGAGAGAAAATCGGAGCGTTAAATGTCATTTGTTTGACGCTTTTATCCAAAGCGACATACATTCAGTACTGTGGACAATCCCCACAGGAGCAATTTGGGGTGAAGTGTCTTGCCCAGGGAAACAACGACATGCTGACTGCAGTGGGACTCAAACTTGCTACCCCCTGATTCGAAGTCCAGCACTCTATCCACTGAGCCACAGCTGCCCAAAAGTGATTTATTTTATGTGTGTGTTTAATAGTACCTGTCCGTCAAAGGCTGCCACGCTGGCTGTGTTGATGATGCAGCCTCGGTGTCCATCGGCATCAGGCTCGTTCTTCCCCATCTCCCCCACCGCCAGACGGATCACATTAAAGGTTCCTCCAATGTTCACCTGCAGGGAACACAAAGAAAAGTCTAGTGAAGGAGGAAGTGTTCAGATATTCAGTCAAGTGATAGTATTTATAACACTTTGAGATGCCCCACTACTAAAGTCCTGCATTCAAAACCACAAGACTACCACACGCAATACAGACCATAATAACTTTCTGCTGTAATACCATGCTTACCTGCAATATACACTTCAGTTCTTACCATTTGATAATGTTTCCGGCTCTTTCAATAGTTGATTAGGTTCACTCATTTATAAAAAAAGAACTGCACTATATGTTTTTACCATGGTGTATTTATTTGTTTTATTTAATAATGTGGTGGCTTTTTTATTTATCAAATGTGGATAAAGAATCAAACCATAAAGCGTTCTTTCACGATAGCCTGAAGGTAAGGAAAGGAGCATTCTGGCAGTAATGGATTATTATCTTAAAAAGGTCATCATATAGAAAATCAGCCCCGTTGTCTGTGATCAATTTCCAGCCGAAAATTATTATTTTTTAATATTTTTATAGTTTATTTAAATAAACAACAGGAGATTTCACCCACGAAGAAACATTTGTCCTTCAATTTAGCAACATTTTTCAAATGACCAAATCTGTAAAATAATAACAAGCACAGCCCCACCTAGTGTCAGCAGAAAGTATTAAAAATAATGATTACAACAAAATGCAAAAAATAAATTAAAAAATATATAAAATATATTTTAAGATCATGTTTAATCATCTGATTCGTCTGTACATTGCTGTTTTAGTCTGTGTTCTTCTAATTAGTGTCTACAGTGTGTGCATATTGAGCTGTTTAGAGCCATGTGGGACAAAACCCGATCCTGCCCCTCCCTCTCTCTGTCTAAGTGAACGGTGACTGTAAAAACTACACTGCGCATGCTCAGAATATTTTCCTATGTAATGTGTGTGGCAAAAAAATAATGACCATAGGGGCATAGAGCTGCCATCCCCACCATACGTCATCTCACATCATTCAGAGCTGATTGGCTGTAAGTACGTGTGCCGCGAAAAGTGTGGTGTGTGAAGAGGAGACGAGAGAGCTGCAGTGACGCATCCTAAAACCCGGAAGTAAGCTGCGCATGGCTTCCCTCGACAACAAAGCAATGATATTTCTCCATAGGATTTTAGAAAATAGCTGTGGGAAACGTACCTGTTAGATAAATGCACGTTTTGTTCAGCCGGATAATATCCACATGTCTACCCTACTTTTATAATTTTCGAATCATAAATCTATTGATTAGATTAGATTTATGATAGACTTTTGAAACTACAAGAACATAAGGAGGACTTTTACAAAAAAGTAATAGAGATTTTTGTCCAGAAGGATAGGCAAATGGACTTCATCTTCAAGTCAAGGTAAGACTGCAATTTTATTGAAAATGGGATCTTACTAAGAGAGAACAATTCAATATTTAAATGATACAATTACATTTTTTGGGTATCCTTTTGTTGAACTGTCTGTTTAAAATTAATTGAAGCATTAGACAAAAAAAGCTTTTGAAAATAATATTATATTTTGAATTAGGTCAAAATATAATATTTGTAAACCTGAAGAGTCAGAGCCTCACCAGCCATGAACCTCACTGCAGAAGCTTATAGACATCTAAGTTTTTTGTGCCCCACCACTTTTGTACATATAAAAACGCCACTGACAATATGTCTCCACTACAGTGTAGTAGAGGTATAAAGTTACATAAACCTTGCATGTGCTTTAGTAAATCTACTTAACTACATTCCACGACTGAAAGGGTCATAGAAATATAACTTTTTACTAATGTTGAATGCATCCTTTCCCTTCCTTGCGTAC